GTCTTTAAAGCTCTTCATCTCACAAGAAAGCAAACACCTGCGGTTCAATTCCGTTCAGTTTCTCTTCCGGAAAAGTGCAAAATATTAAAGGTTATTTTTTTTTTAACAACAGGAGGTGCATTTCTCTTATGAGCGTAATATTTGCTTTCATTATCGTAGGGTAAAAAAAGAAAAAAAAGGCTTCAGCTTAGGCGAACTCCGTTTTGCAAGTATGCAAATGCTCTGGGTTGCCTATGGAAACACATGTTCTGCTGAGCGCGGGGCTGCGTCCAAAAAGAGTTGTTCCGAAGACGCAAATACGCCTATACATGGAGAGGATGGTTTGAGAAAATGTAGAGGCTTGTAGGAATGGAGGTATTAGCACTCACTTCCAAATTGTGTCTTTGGTGTTATTTATAGGGATGAAGGCACCTTTCAAGATTCCCATTTGAATCTGTTTGTTTTGAAGTTCAAAAGCGCCAAATCTTTAAATGCATTTTTTGAAATTCCAATTAAGAGTCAGTCAAAACTCAGCACTGAAAGAATGGGTTTTGTTTTACAAATTAGCAATTAAAAAGTGCCAAATATCTTCARTGTTTAAATAGTCTTCTGCAAAGCCCAGTATGATTAAATTACACTTTTTGGGATTTAAAAGTATGTTCCCAGGATCTTCCCTTTTTTTTTTTTTTCATTTTCCTTCTTTTAGGAATGCCTCCTAAAGCTGCCTGTCGAGCACTAGAGCTTCACTCACGCAACCAGTACAGGGGATTATGTAAATTCTTTCATAAATAGTTCAAAATCTCCTTCTTTTTTTCTTTCCTACTTTGAAATTACCAGTGACTTCTTTCCCCTTCGGTATTTCTTCTTCTCTTTGTTGCCTTTTTCCTCTGTGTTGTGTCTAATTATTTAGAACATCTTCAGTTTCCTTACTGGAGTAATAACAACTAAGGAAAGGTAACTTTGTGGATTGCAAGAAAATCTGAATTCTTCCACTGAGATGTTTTCCACCTGTTTCAGTAATCACTGCTCATGTTAAGCAGGGCTTAAGGCAGGCAGAGCTCTGAAGAGCAGGCACTTTATGAGCTAATACCACAATTCAGGAATGCTACGTGGCATTTTATTCTTAGCATTTCTCGCCTTGTGACAGACAGTTCCTGCCTAGAACATGGCACCACTTTAGCAGAATAACAAACACCAACTGCCGAATGTGTTAATACCATGGAAAAGCAATTTTGCATTATTTTGTTGGAAATTATGTCCTTTTACCAGCAGTTTTTTTGTTATTATGACAAAGTTTCAATTTTATCTGTTTCCGTGCATGTGAAGGTGTATTGTTTGTGCCCACATACTTGAGAAATAATGAGGAGAGTTTGGAAGGAATGAAGTATCTGTCTCTCTGAGGAAGAATGGCACAAGGAATCCAGAAATAACCTGGTGACAGAAAAGGTGTGAGATATCACRACAAGGATGTAGGTCTTTAGGTCAAAACAACAGGTCAAAGAGGGCTTTGAAGGAGAGAAACCCAAATAATGGTTGTTGACTRAAGCGAATTGGTAACCACTACCCTGATGATCAGCAATTTCAGGCACTGGAGTAGAGGATTTATCAGTCATTAAAATGCTTGAAATAAATAGGAAAAGAACAAACACTTCTTATTTGATCTTGATGCCTATGTCTGAACTCCAGTCTGTATTTGTGTGGTGTCCATAGCTGTGCACTCAGGTGTGGACCAGGGTACGAGTGTGTTCTGGAGAGCTTTTGGGTCTCTGCAGTTTCTTAGCATAGATGCCCACTCACCATCAACTTGGCATGCTTGTCCTACCAACGTGAGTTTGATTCTGTGCCCTTCCTGTAAATCTCTTAGGGCCCCAAAGAACCATCAACATCAAATCAAAGATCTGACAAATGAGACCTTGGAAGAYTTTAATGGCCAACACTTTCTGTCGTTCAACTCTAAGCTCAGTGCTTTGCATTCAGGAGCAGGAATTTGCAGCCCAGACTTGTATCCAGGTTATTCAGATGGAAGGGAATGCATGGAATACAGCACCATTGGAAAACAAACAAAAACAAAACAAAATAAAACAAAAAAAACAAAACAAAAAAACCCCCAAACATCCTCAGAAATGGTCCAATATCCTAAATCTACCCACTTCTAAATAAATTCTGTTGACCACTCCCACTTCTGCCTTTCTCCTAAACCCGATCACAGGGTTTAGCTCCTGCCAGGCACCTCTTCACTTTCAGAACAACATGCTTTGGTGACCACTGTCTAGTTGCATCGGAGCTTCTGTGGTAAGCTGGACAAGACCTAATGAAATTAAGAACTTCCAAGTTTAGGCAGTGCTAAAAAACAAGCAAAAGGCATCACTGTCTGGGCTATCCACGTGCTTACATACCTAAACTTTTTAGTTTAGAGATATAAGATTTAAGCAGACTGTATCCTGTCTCGTCCTCTCATATGAGTTGCATATGTAAAGATAAAATACTGCTGAATTGTCAGTATGAATTGTGATTATCAGCAGGAATGAAGACTATTCCAGAGGACTGGACGGCCACAGAAAAACTGTATTCCTGATGTTTTATTGCTCTGCAATAGAATGGAAAATATCATGTTTGGGAACCTGTGATGGCCTTCATGTACAGTTGGGTTTCTGTATAATTAAACAATTGCCACAGGCATGATTTCTAAAAATTCTACGATCTCTTTTATGTTGACTCTGGCAAAATCAGATGCGGTTTTCAATAAGCTTATCTAATTCTGTAATGCCTCCAAAATGTCCTCCTAGATAAAGCTGTAGGAACAAGTAGTCAGAGATAGCAACATCTTAGGCATTGGCTGTGACGAATTAGGAACCACAAACAGGAATAATAAAGCAGTTTTTCTTTTCTTTTTTTTTTTTTAAAGAGAAATTTGAATCTGAACTTTGTTATACAAGTTCTGTATAGAAGAGTCAAGAATTTACCTTGATATTAAAATGGTATTAATGAATATTGCATACATATTTCAAATTATTGAAATTATCAGAGATGAATATTGGGCAGGCTGGTGCAGTGATTTTACTTGCAAGGAACTTGCACAACCTTTTGCCTGTATGTACGTGTATAAAAGCACGTCCCAAGAAATATGCTTTTAAGTAAATATTTGTTTGAACACTTGAAGTCTGTGTTCAAATTATGAGTTCATGGTGGACCAGGGARCAGTTCCTGGGTCATCGCTCTAGGCTCCATCTCTACCCATGTCCCAACTCYCTCTTGGGATGAGGCTTGGGCATGTACTAGCCACCTTTTATGTTCTCTGTCTTCCATGGGAAGGAAACTTGAGTGCATCTAGGGATTCCTGATGCTCCCTAGTCACGTTTTTTATTTGAATAATGACGGGACAACAACTGCTGGTTGTTCTGTGGAGCACAGACAGCGTCATGCATAAAACCTGTCTCACTAGATTATCTATYAATTGACTGGACCTTGGGGCATAATTACTGGAGAACATCCCAGGCTTTAATTGAGATAAGATAACAGTGTCAGGTGAAGAAATACCCCCTAGTTTAAATCACTATTAGGTAGRTGAGCAAGGGAAACTTCTCACCATCCATTTCTCATGGATGGGCATTCTCAGTTGCTCCTTTTGCAAAACAGAGAGGGAATTGCAAGTGAAGTCCTACAGCAATCTGCCACCAACATAATTGAAGACCTTGAGCCTAATAGCCTTAGTTTTCTCTGTAGCCAAGGGAGAAGACTATAATTTGATGAGCCATTCAGACCCACTTTGCCCTCAGGAGATCCCTGCCTCTTTCCAGGTCTCCAAAAACCATTGAGAATCCTAATTTATGTGCCTTGCTTGAACACTTGATGTAGAAGGAGAAATCTGAGTCGTTACTTCTGTATTTTGGGAGCGTTACAGGCGGAAACAGAGGCAGGAGTTGGGCAAAATAAGTTATTTTTGTTTGAAGTTAATATCTGAAGTTTCAAAGAAAGAATATGCCTTTGTGAGCCATCGTAGTTGGTAGAAGGGACTGCTTTGTTCTTTCAGTTGTACTTCAAAGGAAATCTTCTGCTATGTTTTAACCCAAGATATCTGCACTATTATCGATAGAAAACCTGTCACGGGTCATTGATTTCGAAGCATCATTGATATTTAGCTTATTTTCTACTGCCTTTTATTTCAGAGATTTTAGTATGGGAATAAGAAAAGGAAGCAAATTATCACTGAAGGAGAAAATATGTTGCCCATAGTCGGGGATAAGCAAGATAAAGCCAGAGTGTACATGACGTGTTTCAGCTCTAGGGAGCCCTGCAAATACTAACTAACATCTCGTTGCTATTTAAATCTCCAGAGAATTGCGAATTTTAGCCTTGTTTATTCCTTCTCACTGCCGTTCATATAATGCACTTGATTCCTATTACCAGGAGATTTTTGCTGATTTACACCTGCTGAGGATCTGCTGTCCTTTGATAATTGGCCGTGTGGGTGAATGAATACCTAAATTTTGTCTGAACATCAAATATCTGCATGCATAAGTTGTTAAACTGACACATTTTTCCTCCCATATAGCATATAATTTAATCCATTATTGCTGCCACCTTTAAAGACTGCATATGCCTGAAAGCAGAAAATTAAATAACTGTTTGCCATTAATACAAATTATTGTGTTTTGACAGCTTACTAATCAAGTAAAGTAAAAATGGAGCTGTACAAATAGGTGCAATTGCCTTTTAAGTAACTTTTTTTCCATCTCCATGAGGATTCACCTTGCCTAGACCTTTGAACCCTTCCAGGATTTGTCTGCTGTGATATGTTAATATTCAGTAGCGTTATTWAAAAAGAGCTTTATTTGAGTTGTTCATTGATGCAGAATGCATTTCCCAGCATAGTTACCCCCTGTATAATCTTGGGAAGCATCCAGCCGCATGCCAGTCGTAGACATTACTTCCAGTACAGTCTATATCAATTAATATGCAAATGAGTGATTTCCTATTGAGCTGCTTTTGACATAATGTTACGTTTTCTCTGCAAAATTCAGGTATGGGCTGTTTCTGGGGAGCTGAGAGGAAGTTTTGGAGGCAGAAGGGAGTCTACTCCACTCAAGTGGGTTATGCAGGAGGATATACCCCGAATCCTACCTACAAAGAGGTGTGCTCAGGTAAGTCTTCCACTTCATTTTTTAAGCTTTGTGATTAAAATCTTGCTGATTATGAATGGCATTGAATTAAATGTAGTAATATAGACATTGGGTATACACTAAGCTTACCGTGCAGTCTAAACTATCTATGGTATCTTCATGTGTCATCTCCTACTAGCTGTGCATTTAATGTATGCATAAAGGTTCTGCGGAAAATTCAAAAATAAAAGGTATTTTTGTCTTCTTTGCCTATGGTATTGTTATATACATCCTCAGGAAAATGGATTCTGTTTCAACTTATGCAAATGTGTTCTTTATAAAAACACCTCCAATCACCCACTACAATTTCTTTCCGTAATCGAACATACAACCACTGGCAGCCAATTGAGTAATGGTTCTGTTAAAGCAAATTCGTGCTTTCCTCTGCTCGCTGGGGGAGAACAGCTTAGAGGTTTCCTTTTGGTTTATTTTCTTGTTAACGCTTTTTATGCCAACTCCTGAAGTTGTCCTACCATTCTCCCTGACAGTTGGTCACCTAGGATTGAAGGCAGGCKTGTAAAAACTTCAGCAGTGCAAACAAGTAATGGACACTTCAGCAACTGTGGATACATGCTGCAAGGCACCCAGAGACACAGAAACTTGAATATGGTAAAAATTATGAAAGAAAAAATGGTTTAAAGTGATATTTTGTAGACAATGCTGCACTTACCGGAAATTGCCTTATAAATGCTAATCACAGAATCCCAGGATGGCTGAGGTTGGAAGGGACCCCTAGGGATTCAGCAGGGACACCCAGAGCRCGGGGCACCCGGGCGCATCCCGGCGCGCTGGCAGATCTGCAGAGCAGGAGCCTCCGCAGCCTCCCTGGGCAGCCTGGGCCAGGGCTCGGGCACCCTCCCACCAAACAAGTTCTTCCTCACGGCCACATGGAGCTGCCTGCGCTGCAACCTGCACCCACTGCCCCTTGGCCTGCCCCTGGCCACCACCCACCAGAGCTTGCMCCTTCCTCCCTCCATCCTCCCCTCGGCTCCTTGGACACRCTCACCAGCTCCCCTCTCASCCTCCTCTYCTCCAGGCTCAMCAGGCCCCGCTCGCTCAGTCTTTCCTGATAGAACAGATGCTCCAGGCCCTTAYAGAATCACGGAATCACAGAATGGTTGAGGTGGGAAGGGAGCTCTAGAGATGATCTAGTCTAACCCCTGCTGCTCAAGGAGGGACACCCAGAGCACAGAGCACAGGGTTGCCTCCAGGTGGGAAATCGTCTTAATCATCTTTGTCGCTCTAATAAAGATTTAAAGAGAATTTCTTATGGTAACTCTTAGTAATGTGCATGTTCTCAAATGTAAATACTAGTGTAACTAGACTTTCAAAACATCTCAGATGAAATAAAGAGCATCATGCCTTTAGGATTAAATGATTTATGGATACCTATAGCTCCTGGAAAGCATGATAAGAAGGAGATGTCTCAGCAGTGGATGGATCAGAGGTACCTGTCGTATTTACTCAACTGCACCATACTTCTTTCTACTTCCACACTCCTACCCTGGGAGTTTGATTCATCATTTCCCTGCAGTGTGTGCATAGCATTTTTATGAGTATATACAGCCTCATGCCCATCTAGCAATTTTTGTGTCTCTATTTCACGGCCAGAGCATTAAATAATTAGATTGTTTATATAGGATAGGGATGCACTGTGCAATTTCTCTTGCCTGACACGCTCCCAGTTYGAGTAGACTGGGTAGTTGTGCTGGAATATTGAGTGGGTCTCTGCAGATAGTGCTGGCAGCTGGCCAAGGGGAGATGTGAATATAGGATAAGGTATGACCRAGGGAAGCAGAAAGAAGGTGCTGACCCTTAATTCTATGCAATGTAGGCTAGAAGGGGTCATAGAATCATAGGWTGCTTAAGGTTGGAAGGGACCTCCAGAGGTCATCTAGTCCAACGGCCCTGCACACACAGGGTCCATGTTACCATCTGCTTTGCATTTGACTGAGACACTTTGAGAGCTTTCCAAAGCTTTTATACATGGCATTTCACAAATAGTTAACAATAAGTAATAATTAAATAGTAATTTATTTCCGTCCCAATTTAATGTTATTTAGCTAGAACAAAGAAATGGGGAAAATCTTTGAACTCTTACTTGCTGATAGTTGTTTAATTGGGTGTGTAGTGCAGAATCATAGCTGAGGTTATTTTAATAGTGCCTGGTTTTATGCACATTTGCATTGTAAATGTTTATATACCTCCATTTACTGAACAGAGGAGGRTTTTTTTTTGCTCAGAGATATCCAGAAGGAGAAGCACATACTTCATAAACTTGTCGGTGTGAACATCAATGGGATGTGTATGCATTGCACATTTCTTTTCTTAGTTGTGCAGCTGAGCTGAATTGGAGGATATACTGATTTCTGCATGCTAATTTTTTCTTCCTCCTTAGATTCCACTAGCCCTATCTTATTCTGATATTATTCTTACTTTTTTTTGCAGCAGAATTATTTTCATTTTTGAAGATACTTTTTATAAGTCTCCTTAGGGAGGGTTCTCACAAGCTGCCCTCAGATATTGCCATCTGTCTTCTCCTGACTTCCATCATTTTCATTGGGAAGAATGGTATTTATGAAATCAGAAGACTGTAGTAAATCAGCACTCTCCCTGATTTCTTCATCTGTTATGGCAGATCAGCTCCTTAAAGGACGTTTTCTTTAAATATAGTTCTAGAAGGGACATCCGTGCCACCTCAATGGTATCCTCTGGGCTAGTCTTKGAGCTCTGCTTTCAACCTGTGCAGTTGTGAGAATCTATGTTGGAAAATTATTTTTGTCTATCACCTTCTGCTCTGAATAAAGAGGTGCAACTTTGCTTGGGATTAAATATTTAGTGCCCCTTCCAAAGCTGGACCACCAGCTTCACCTTAGCCACAGTGATGTGGGTTTGCTCTTTTCCCCACACTAAGCTCACTCTTAATATTTCAGCCTGTGGTGATTTTTGGTTCAGTTGTCTAAATGTCAATTTAGACATCTGAGTCATCTGCCATTCTGTAGCTCTRTCTAATAGATTTTTTGGAGATGCTAGAGACCTTTGGACATCTTAAAGGCAACGCAAAGTCCACGTGTAAGCAACTAAGGTTTTCTGTTGCTGTGCATTTAGGATGTCCCCGAATCAATGCAATCTTATTTGGAAACCTCTGGTAAACTGCCTTAAATATTATTTGTCTTAAAAAGTAGCATTGCACTAGCATCTGTGTCTAAATATGTGGTAGTTGAGGAATGACTCAGACAGAGGCTTGGAACATATTGTCTTCAGTTTGATATTCTGATTCACTCTTTAGAATAATTTATTTGACCATATTGCATGGCTAATAAGAAAAAGCTTAGAGTTTTATGTCTTCTTCATGGTTTTTGTACATGTTCTTGAGACAAAATGTCGTGTGGTTGTCAAATGGAGTCAAGTTTGTTTTTCATACCCCCGGTGTTCCGGTTTTCAGCCACTATCTTCATGTGATGGGCTCCASTGATAAGCAAAGGTCATCTGCAGACCTGATATGAAGGAAGGGGACAAAATTTCTACTGCAATGGCCAACTCATGACTGTGCTGCTACATGATGTTTGGTAACTTATAAAAATGTGTACCKGTAATGGCCAACTCTCAACCTCATAAGCCTTCAAGAATAATGTTATTCAGCTGACTCTTGTGGAGGTAGGAAAGTCCTGATTCTGCTTGTAAAGGTCAGATTAATGTTATCCTGTTCACATATGTGACAGGTTGTTACGAAGATTCTCCTATCAGTTGATGTGGTGTGTTGCCTTGTTAAATTGGTGTTTAAGAGATAATTGAGCTATTTTGAAACTTATGAATACAGCGCTGGAGAATTATTTTTACATTTCATGGTGACGACCATACAAATGAAAATCTGAAAAGGCATTCTGGAGTGGGTGAAGGATTGGAGCTATTTTCAGTGCATTAATCCAGTACATAAATACACCATTTTTGGCCAGCGTTAGACAACCCAGGATGTTCATTCACTATGAAACATCTTTTCATATTTTGCTTACAGATGTTCAGAACAATTCTGTGTTTATCTGGATATTCATAAGCTCTTTGAAATCTGCATAGCTCAAGTGGCACTGAAATCAGAAGGGAAAAACTCTGCTGTTGTTATTCATAAACCAGTTGTGTACAATTACCATATAAAATCTGCAACTAAAGATGATTTTCTTAAAAACACGGCAGTTTGTAGGCCTGTAGTTCAAGCTGTTAACATTTAAGCAGGTCGTTTTATATTTTCGGTTGTATTTTTTATCTTCAATCATTGTAATGTTAGAAAAGTAGATAAATCTGCCATTTTATTATCTTATTTGTTATAAGGCTTAGTGAACTTAATGGTATATTTAACCCTCTTTATAATCTAGTCAATTCTTAGCACTTTTCAGAAGCATATTACCTTGCATATAAATTTAAATTCTTAATGGTTAACGATGCAGTATAAAAATATGCTACATGAACTTAGCTTCCATGGTGTTACATACAATATTTTATTGTAAAATCACTTTATAAGGAGTGAGCCATTACTTGCAATATAGAGACAATGTAATACAAGGAAATAATTCTTTCCTTCTCAAGTTTGTCCTACAACATACTATCAGTATGTACTATATCAGTGCCTTATATCACTTGAAGAGCCCTTCATTTAGACATCACAACCCCATTCCAAAGCGAGTGACTCTCCAAAATGCTTAAATGTATAATTAAAKTACAAATATTCCCTACCCTTTCTATAACTTATAAAGAGATCTGAAAGTTTTCATGAACAGGCATTGAAGTCCACAAGACTAAAGTTTCCAACCAAGCCAATGGTTCACAACATTTTCTTTTTTTTTATTAGATTGTTGTCAAGAGAATAGATTCCTGTTATTCCTTTGTTAGTCCTTTTTCCTTTTCTTATAAGAACAGGCTATAGGAATTTTAATGACATATAGATTCTGTGAAGATTCTCAGTGTTCACTATGGCCTTGATCTGTAAA